GAATGCCTTAATAGAACGAGTTCAACCATAGAGAGGATACTGTAGAGCTTCAAGGTGGGAGCTTTTACAGCATCTATTAAAAATGTCCTGTGAGAAACAGCTAACCCCATCAATATACTTATACCTCAGTTTCCTCTTGTCATATAGGGCTATAATACTGACCTCACAGGATTATTGTGGGGATTAAACAAGTTGATTAATAATTGTTATAAAACTCTCAGAAAGTTACACATAATTGAGAAGTTTCTAATGACCTCATACGTAGGGGCCTTTATGTAGATAACCTACTTGACCTATCTCCATGGGGTCTGAAGAGATGAGAAATCACCTAGATAGTGAATTTGTCAGTCACACAGGATTATAATTTTTACCTACACTATGTGCTGGGCCCAACTACAGATGAATTATCCTATCTCTAGTTTCTCAAATACCCACAGACAGCCCCTGTTTCTTGGATAGGCTGAAGACACCTTGAACACTGTCTACACACTGTCTTCTGGTACCTACTCACACAAGACTGCCATAACAACACTGTGTGAATCAAGGCAGTGTATAGACCAACCCAAAGGCAACAAGATGCTCTTGGTCCTGAGATAAATAACTGAACCAAGGACATAATCCATGAGGAAAGGTAAAACTTGCTACTGTTTTATTTTGAATGAGCATTCTATTCCCAACCATGACAGATCTTTCTATTTTTACCCAAAATGATTTTCATAGACCTTCAAATGCTACTGTCTTTTGATCAAGACATGGCACAATCTATACTCTTTCACTACTTTTCACTCCTAGATGCCTTAGAATATTAGAAGTCTACTTGATTATCTGTGAAAATAGTTGGTTCTAGGTATTTGGGGTCATCAAATCATGAGAAAATGAGAGTCTCATAATTATTGATCAAAGTGTCAAAGAAGGATAGTACTGAAGGGCAAATATCCTGGGACATTCACTTTATTTTACAGAGCAGGAAACTGAGGCCTGAGCTTAAAGAAACATTCTGGAATAGAAGACAGATCTGAAATGTGAACTTGAGTACTATGTAACCGCTCTACCACATGGCATCCTTTCCCCTCTGTTGTGTATGCCATGAGCACTAATGTAACCTGCAAGTGCCCTTTCCTATAACTACCTCCTCTTATTGTTCCCTAGCACAGAGGAATTAATGAATGTCTCATATTCCCATTTGCATTTTAACCTTCTTCCTCTCTTACTACAGGTCTTCTGATATTTCCTCCTCAAGTTTCAGGTTGATGATGTGAACTAACAGGCCTTTTCTCAATACTTTTGCAATGACCAGTGGCTGCTCGGGTACCTGTCACCAGCACTGTTGTGTCTGTTGGCTGAGACACCAATGTTCTCTGTCATAAGATAGAACCACAATGACACTGGGGAAAATGGGAGTGTAGAGGATAGTTTCTGCAACTAGCCAGCTCCATGGGCTACCTGCAATATGTTCCGTGGTCGATAGTCACATGAGCCAGGGTGTATGGACAGAGAGGTGAGAAGAGCCTTCACTATGGGAACAGGAGGAATGTTGCCCCTTGCCAAACATCTCTGTGGTGGTGAGGTTGATGACAGGATGCATAGCACACAACTCTGGCTGGATGCCACACATCTGGGCTCAAAACCAAGCACACAAGCTATTCAAATCAAAGAAAATCTAATCAGCGAATATTTTCAGTGCCTACTATGTGCATCCAGACAGCTGTGGTTAGAATGAATATCACTTAAGTCCTACTCAATCCCCCAAATTCGATTGTTCTATGTTCCAGATGCCTGATATTATATTAATTGAATATTTATGTTTTGAACTGAGCATCTGTTGGCATATGTTGATGTGCAGACAAAACCAAAAGTTATGAACTATTTCTCTAGCATGTTAATAGTACTCTTGTCAAGCTCCCTAGATGAAGGCTGAAGACAGTTTATCCCAAGCCTCTAACCATTTCTAAGACTGCCATCCCTCTTGCTGTCTCCTGCGCTATCAGAATGCAGAGCAGTTAGATAGGCCATGTTTCCTCCCATAGCTCCAGGGAGGTATTCAGGTGAGAACACCACCAGAGGCAACATCTTTCTAAAATCAGTGTTTGGATGCCTCTAGGCTCACAAGCACTCAATGCCGAGAGGGAACCCCATGCATAATTTGGCATTTGTGATGCTCTAAGAACAAAGGATATGATATCCCTTTGTTTCTGGACATCCTAAAGTTGAAATGACATCTTGGCTGACAATTACGATTCTGCATTCTTTTATAAATCATGCTTTTTCTGAAATAACTTAAAACAGGTGAATGAACATTCAGTTGCTTCAATTCTGGCGTTTCTCCTATGGCCTTTACTAATACTACGACCAAGTACTGCAGTCATGAAATTAATAAAGTCGAGGGATTTGCTTTTAGTTTGCTTTAGGCCATTTACTGTTTTCACTCTTTAGTAAAAAGAAACAGCCACTAAGGTGAGGTTGGAAGGATCCCTCCATATGTGATGGCAGTCTCCAATTTTTCAAGGTTCTCTAGGTATTGTCAAACAGGCTTTGTACACACTCTAGTTAGCATGCTTATGTTTGTCTCTTATTCTCACAATGATGTCTAAGCTCCTTAAAGTCAACAGGTTCTTCCATAGGCTTCGCAGCCCCATGGCATTGAGCACAAGGATCTTCACAATAGTTATGATTCAGCATTTACAGGCAGGAAAAGAAAGAATCACTAAAGGCCAGGATTGCTTGTGGCCTTCCTAAAGGGAGATAGGAGGTGGAAAAAATCTGGAAATTTGGGTCTCCAAGCCTAGCCTTCGTGACTCCCTTCTCAAGAGTGTGAAATCAAGGACCCTTTGGTCACTTCCCTTTCATATTTACCCTGCCCACTGGAGAAGGTGGCCTCTGTAGCTAGTCTGATCCATGAGCCACTGGGTTTCCTCACTGTCTATGCTTAGCTAATCAAGAGAAAGCACAGTAAGTGTGCTTTTCTCAGAAACTTCCACTCTGAATCTCTGCTTTCTGTCCTAGGTACATGAATAGGCCTGGACAACCTAGAAGAAGCTTGAAATTCTCATATTTGGGGGCTACACTGTTCTCTATAATGCTTCGGATGAATTAGAAAAAGCCACCCTGCTAGGTAGATGCACCTATAGACTTGTAGCTTAGTAGGTGAACCGTAGGCCATCTTTTGACTTTGATGACTTTACCCTCTTGGTTTATGGAAACCTTGTACTTTCTCACCCTTAAACCCATAAACTGGATCATGTCCTGAATGGTCTGTCTCCTCTTTCCTGAGCTCCACTCTGATTCCCGTAGCTCTACAAAATCCAAAATCCCCTTGGCTCTATTCAAGAAGATAGTTTCATCAGAAATAAAATTTTCAGCTCAAAAGACCAAGCCCCTTTTATACTCTCAACCCCACCTCCAGCCAAGTAATGACCTCGCAGAGGAGAAAGAGGCTTGAGGAGGGATGGAGGGTATTCATATCTCCTCTTGTCTTTTCTGTGTCCTGTCATTTTTGTTTGTTTGTTTTTTACTCTCAACCTTGTATTAGCCTTCTCATTTGAATCTTTATTTCACTAGTTCTCCACTAACAACTTCTTTGTTACAAATCTTGCCCATCTGCCCCAGGATGAAAGAACAAAAAACCACTGCTTATACCCTCCCCATGCTAACTTTTCTGTGGAATTTTGTGACCCAAAGATGATCCTGGCTTACATGCTAGAATTTCTTTACTATAGAAAAATTTCTTTATTGTAGAAAGAAATTTTGAAGTTGTCATTTTCATTTTAAAAATGAAATGATAAAACACACACATGCCATTATTTGTAAACGCCTACAGATGATGAAGAAGAATGTATATCAATATATACACATACATACAGATGAGTGATTGAGCACATGTGTATGTCTACCCATGGAGGCCAAAATGAACATTTCAGATGAAGAGAGTGATTGAATACCAAGGAAAATGGCAGGAATCAAGAGTGATTTCAAATTTCTTCTAGCTTTTCCTTCCATCAGTCTTTCCAGATGAAAAAAAAAAAAGTTTTCTCAGAATTCTATTTAAATTTGATACCTAAATTAGCTTCAAAAAGCAGTCATATGGGTGGCAGAAATGCCGAGGTTACTAGGCAGGGGTCTCATTGTGGTATGAGAATGATTGCTAGCTAGAAAAGGAGATTTTCTAGTCCTCTTCTGGTATTGCTTAGCTAAATCAACTCTGACACCTCTGTGCCTCAATGTTTGATATCTTAGATTCTTTCCAGGGTTTACTAGTGTTCTGTGGTTATATTATTCAAAAATTATGTAGATATTTGGAATAATGACTACCATGTCTATGAAAACCATCACTGCCACCATCATTATCATCCTCACTTCTTTTCTTTCTAGACCAATTTGCAATTACCCACTTACAACTATACCTTAAGAAATGAACAAATAGCGGATTTCTTCATTTTGCAAAAAAAAATATAAATATAACTTTAGTCCTTTAACCAGTATATATGAATTATGCCCATTTCAAACTTGACAGGTGCCAAAGAGCCCAGTGCAAGACTGTCTCAAACTCTAATGATGGAAGACTCTTTTAATTGAGTTTCCAAAATAGCTGTCAAGGGCAATAATGGAAATGCCAAGAAAATGTGATCTTTAGAAAGCCTGAGCTCTGCTTATGGCCCCAAGTTTGGATCTGGTTTGATTTTTCAAATGCTATTCCAAATACTCCCTAACACAATAATTTGAGACTACGTTCAATGATAATTTAGTGTTCCTTCCTTTTACAACCATCATGTATGCTACTCTTTATACTGCACGTAACTTATGAAACTGGACATATGACTCAGCTAGCTCCTCAATCTAAAAATATCTTGGATAAGAGGACTTTTTTTTTAAAATGTAGAACACTTCAAGAATTTGTAGGTCATCCTTGCATAAGAGCCATGCTAATCTTCTCTGTATCATTTCAATTTTAGTATATGTGATGCGGAAGGAAACATTAGAAGGTCTTTGTCAGAGATAGAATGGTTAAGTGGTAAAAATCACAGGTTTTGGAATCATACAGATCAGCAATAACTTTAAATATCTATGTTAAGAGAAAGTAGCATTGAGAACTACCCACATGTGTTCTTTGTATGGATTGTTCATCCTATACCTCATCAGATACAGTTATTGGCACATAGCATGTACTCAATAAATATTTATTGAACTAACTTAATCCATTCTCATATTGAACAAATTTACTTTCACTTAAAGAGGGCTCCATAATTTCTTGATAACCTGATACTATGTTCCTTGCAATTTCTGTAAGGGAGAGTTCTTGGTATGGGATATTGGTGTCTTTGTCCCCACCTCATCCATAAAGCTTTCTCTGACAGCTCCAGATTATTTTTTTTCTCATTTTTATGTTTTCCTGTTGTACTTATTCCAGGTTCCACTCACTTTGGTACATACATGATATCTTATCTTGCCATGTAAAATGTGTTTCATAAACACATCATCTTTCCTATGTGCCTATAAGTTCCTCAAGGGCAAAGGCCATGTTTGATATTTATTTTGTATGTCCCATGGCACACAACACAATATAAAGCACATAGAAAGCTCTGAACAAGTATTAAACTGAGTTGAATTTTAAAGACAATACTCCATCGCCAGTGATGATTTTGTTTTGGAGAATTATCAAAAGGCAAGACTAGTATTCACCACTTGTTTCACCTAAATTAAGCCCGTGGGCCTCTGCACTTGAAGTGCTAGTTAGGAAGCAGAGGATCAGAAAGCAGCTGCTTACTTTCAACAAAGAAGAGATTGTATTTCAACAATGGATTTCAGGATTTCACATATTAGTCACCAGAAACTCTTGGCCAAACCCTTTGGTGTTATCAGGAATAAAAGATAACCCAGAGATATGTCAAATATCAATTTCCAATAACTTTCCTGTGACACACTTCTGCCACTTGGGAAAACTCCCAAGGGATCTGTTGCTACTTATCAGCTCAGATCAGGTTTAACTTTCAGTCAAACGGGTAAAACTCGGCAACAGTGTGTTCAGCCTCAGTATTACAGTGTCTTCCTCTGACACTCAGATTCTCTTGTCAAGTCTTCAATATTGGCTTACACTGTCACCGGAGACCTGGTCCAATTGTGGAAGGCCTGCTGATATTATACATTAAACCACATGTTTTGGAGTGGAATGGGGATAACTTCAACACCTGTAATGGTCTATTGTCACTAAGGTTTCCCAAGCCGCAATTTGCACTGAGATGCTGAATGCAGGAACAACACCACACAGGACTTTTGCATCTTCAACTCCAGCCAAAAGGGAAAAAAAATGGAGAGTCTTTAAAGCCTTACCTTTGATATTCAAAACACTGAAGAGTGTATCTACCCTCCAGATCACAGAAGACAGGCCATAGACTAATTGAAAAAAATCTTTGGTATTAGGGATGTTAAAACTGAGGATCTGCAAAACACCAGAAATCACATGGACCCTTTATTACAAAGCAATGGAACAGGATTCGGAAAAACCAGAAAATATATCTGGGTTCATAAATCAGCCCAGTTGGAGGAAAATGCAAATGGTCAGCACCTGGAATAAGCCTCCATCTGGAGAAGGAGAGTAGCATAAAGAATCAAACTTGGGGGGCAAGGCTCTAGACTGTGCACTGTGATTAATGACTTGAGTGAAAGGTCTCAGTTAAGGCTGAACAATTAATTTGTTACCTCTACATCTCAGAACTTTCCACAGCATAACTATGTCTTCCCTGATTGTTCATATTTACCAAAATGCAAGCCAGTCTGGGAAGCTTCGAACGTGTCATCATCAGACTGCTTCTGACAATTGGAAGAGCCCTGGTGTTTGTCAGGGCTACTTTCATCAAATCAACTATGTTGACTCTGCATGCATGTCTTAACCTTTCAATTCCTTTTCAAGCTTAAGAACCATCTTAAATGAGGCAAAGGCATTGGCCTCGTTCTGTCAAAAAAAAAAAAAAAAAGTCCACAGCTCAGAGGATTGCAAATGGACAGCATATGGCCTGGCTTGTTTCTGGTCATTCCCCAAAAAAGTTCTTAGAGAACTGAATGTCCATGAGATTAATCGTTCCCTCCTGTTCTGCCTTTATCCTCTGGAATAGGTTTCTCTAATTTTTTTCAGATCCTCTGAAGCATTTACATAAAACCAATCACTTATCCTGAATCTACAACTAAAACTCTAAGGCCTACTAGAATCAAAGGAAGTCTTCAAACCACTTTCCATTTCTCCTAGATGTGAATTCATAGATGGGAAAGAAAGGCTAATACCCTAGAACCTGATTTTGAATGTGGAAGTATCAAATAGGAAGTACCTAAGAAATCTAGTTTCCTCATTTCTCATTTGACCTTTTAAAACTGCTTCATTTGTGACAAATGGTCTACCAAAAGTGTCTATGGCCTCCCACAAAGCTTTGCCGAAGAATATCTACCCTCGTGACAGGGGCTGATCCTTCGCTTTCTCTTTAGCCAATCCCATTCACAACTACTTCTCTCAGTAAAGGCATCTTGCTACCAGAAGAGAATCATAATGACAACAATAATTATAGAAGCAAGAGCAACAACACAATAACATGTACATAGCACTTACTAAGGGCCAGGAACTCTTTGAAATGCTTTACTTATATCAACTCATACAATTTTCACAATAACTTATTAAAGTAGGTGTTAGTATTATCATAAACATTTTACAGAGAGAGAGATACGGAGTAGTCAACTAACTTGTGAAAGGTCACAAAGCTAGTATGTGGCAAAGCCAGGATTCAAACATAGGTCTCAGTCCTAACATTATCCTATACTGCAGCTGTGTTCTCCAAACACTTGGTCCTCACCCACCACTGCTGATAAAGTTAGGAAAGCAACCCTTCTAACATAGTGCCTGCTTAGAAGTCAAGCCTGGTGAATCCTGTTTCTGCTACTCAGTATGAAACCTCAAATGAGTTCTGAGTTTCTGAGCCTTAGTTGTCCTCATCTATATATCAACATGATACAAAGACCTACCTCATAGGGTTTTTGTGAGGATTGATGATATAATGCATATACAGTCCCTAGCAAAGTGCCTAGAACATGGTAGGTGCATAATAATCATATTTGTAGTTATTACTAATCAGTTTAGCTAGTATGAACTCATGGGACACTAAGGGAGTTGGAGAAGATGAGGCAGAATCAATCACAGCTTGGAATATAGATATGAAAAATCAATGTTATAATCCCAGAGAGACTAGAATACTAAAAATACTAATGAGTGATACCTATCCTCTTGGTCTGACCAATTTATGCAGCCTCTAGGTTTGCTTATCTCCATGAAAGAAAAAAAAATTCTAATTTTAAATATATACTGCATCAAAACAAAATAAACAGAAGATGTGCAGACTGAGATAATTAGAATATTCTCCCTGAAATTCCTGGTATAATAGTAAGACAGTGTTGCATCCTTCACAGCCTTGTGTGGCTGCTCCATAGGCCAGCCTGGAGCTGCATCTTTCATTCTGCATTTCCTACATGTTCTTGCCGACCCCTGACACATCACATTCCTTGCATCAATAAGGACTAGTGCCAGAACACACTAAATTGCCTTTGACTACATTTAACAGATCTAGTATTTTTTTATGATTCTTTCCTGTTGTACCATTTTTCACTTTTGACTTTATAATTCTCTGCTGACTTTAAATAAAGCTTTGCCAGCCTACCCAAGGTGGTTTTTAATAGAGATTTAGGGGCTAGGTTGTGCTGTGGTTTGGATTCAGATTCTACACTAGCAACAAGGGGAAATTAACTAGGTGATTTCATCTCAAGTGCCCATTTATACTCAGAATAGACAGAGAATTTATCTTCTTCCAAGCTTGTAATCATGACACTACAAAGTGATACTCAAGAGATAAAAAATTAGGTAGCAGTAGCTGCCACACCAACAAACCATTACTACACTGGGTCACTATAAGCCCAGATTACTGGAATAATATAAAGACAGCAGTGGAATCACTTGCTGAGTGACAGGGAGGAATTTGACCACATTCTGTCCTATGCCAGAGGCAATGCTTGTTCTTCTTAAGATGGGGAACTCAAATGACCCTACACCAGCTATGACAGCAGACTTCTGATACTCCTCCCTCCTCCATGCTATCCCTAGTCCCTATTGCTTTCCACCCAGATGAAACACTGGAAGCCACCTAGCCTTCAGTAACTAGAAAAGATGACATACATGACTGGCAAAGAAACTGAGCCAGATAGGAAGTAAGTCCTCAAAATTAATATATTTTTATGAGAAGAATAAGTTTTAGTTAATTGTTTCTTAAAAATATAAAATTGGCAACTCGGTAAGATTTTGCTTTTGTCTCATTTTATATTATCATGCAATGCTTGCTCCATTACACAAGAATAGTTACAACATATGTAAGCTACTGAAAACAATAATTTTAAAAAATTCGTGTACCTATTACTAAGCTTAGAAATAAAAAATCACTTTGGCTTTTCCTATCAGATTAGATTGCTTTGCCTCTACCCACCACTCGTAGTAAAGGCAAGCCTGAATTTTGAGTTTTTCATTCTCGAGTGTTTTTTTTTATTTTCTTAGTTTTGTCACATATGTAAAGACCCTTTTAAAGTAGTGTTTTATTTTGTGTTTTTGAACTTTATATACAAAGTGATACCATATAATATCATCAGTGAGTTTCTTTCTCCTCCAATAGTATATATTCCTCCATGTTGAATATTACTTAACTTTATGTAATGAATCATTTGGGTTGTTTCTAGTTTTTTTGTCTTTTTCTGTTTTCTTTTTTTTGCTATTTATTATAGATAATGTTATGCATATAGTTCACATCGATCTGAGAATGTATAAGAACTTTTCCTGGGTTAGAGTCCTGGAAGTTGAATTACTGGATCTTAGGATTTGCATATATCCAAATTACTAGATAATACATTGTTTCCCAAGATAGATATACTAATTCACATTCCCACAAAAATACCTTTT